TCTCTCTCTCTCTCTCTCTCTCTCTCTCTCTCTCTCTCTCTCTCTCTCTCTCTCTCGTTCTCTCCACAGAGGGCGTGCCTATGCGCAGCATGCCGACCTGCTGTGGATGGAGACGGCCAAGCCCAACCTTCCGGAGGCGAGGGCCTTCGCGGAAGGTATCCATGCCGAGGTGCCCCACCAGAAGCTGGCCTACAACCTCTCGCCCAGCTTCAACTGGGACGCCGCCGGTATGTCCAAGCAGGAAATGGCCGCGTTTAATCGCGAGCTGGGCCGCCTGGGCTTCGTGTGGCAGGCAAGCGATGAAGTAGTCAGGGAGTCAGCCCGTACGTCACCCATCTTTTCGATCCTCAAGGAAACCAAAACGTTGGTTTCGGGTGCGACTGGGGGAAACATTGTTCCTTTGGTGTCGTTCATGGCAAAAGAACAGCCGATGAAAAGTCAAGCCGGTGTTGCTGTGTAGGTCGCACAGGAAGGAACATCGAACTTTGAGTCCGTCCGGAGAGTAGGGGAAACAGCGAAGAACTTGCGCGTCTAACGGAACGTAACCGTTGCCTTCCTGCTGTTGTTCTTCTTGACCTTGGGATCTAGTACTATAAATATTTCAGCCGGTCTAACCCTTCCATCGTTCCCATCCCACCGGTGCACTCGCGCTGTTGCGTTTTCTGGCATCTGACGTCATCTACGCCCTGTTCGTCCGAAACCTCACGACCGGCATCACGATACAGTTCATCACCCTGGCAGGCTTTCACTCGGACGGGCTAATTGTTTCCCGTCTTGCCAAGGAGTACGGAAAGTGAGACAGACAACATTAAATTAGGCCATGCCATTTTTTTTTCGGGGTAGTTTGAGTATTTTGGCATACTTATTTGTTCGTACTAGCGGAGATAAGCCTCCCTTCGCCACGTTTGCCGACGAGAGTTCGGTCGGACGAAACGCGAGCAACTTGTCATGGTTACGCAGGGACGAAATTACCAAGTCGAAGTCTCGTTGTTCGTTGGCGAAGAGGAAGCAAAGAACAACGCACACGCCCAACCTATTGAGCAGTACATACATGAGGAGCAGACTAAGGGGTGCTTCCGCCATTATTGTGAAGGTGTTCCGATTCGCCACAACATATGCCCTGGTAATCGGATCCTCCTGTCGACGACGCCCTACAGTATGCGAGTGCAGGCGTACCCGTTTGGTCAAAATTCCACCGAGAGACGCCTTTGGGTAATCGAGTCCTTCTTAACGCCGTATTTGCCGCCTCCGCTCACGACAAGGAAGGGGGGCTCGTTGAACGAACCGATCGTATACTCCTCCTTGTGCGGCTCGATTTCTTTATCGCTTCGAGGCGGTTCATTCGGTGCCAAGAATCGTGTAATATTGTTGCCTGCAAAGACTCGATTTTGTGCTCCTTAGTTTGACGGCGATGGTGTGCTTCTCCTTTGATTGTGGATTACAATGCAGGCATGGCGTGATAAAGTACGTCGAGCTGGTGCAGAGGCCCGAGCGCAACGAGCAGGTGGACATCCTCACGCATCAGAAGTGGTCTGGCGCTAACCTCATGGACAAGCAGGTGACATCAGGAGTAGACTACATACAATAGTTTGGTTCGAAATTGACCATTATTGTCCATTCGCAACAACACTCAACCAACATACGAAATGATCACGTCTACCATGCATGGTAACGATGTACCGCTTCCTCGCTGCCCCACCCCTGTCAGGTAAACATCGCTACGGGCGGCCTCGCGTCCACGTCCGCCATGGGCGAAGGAGTGACCGAGTCTCAATTCGTCCGCCACGGAGTTAGTGGCGGAGGCGCTGCTCACAGCGGAACCCGCTCGGTGGCCGTCTCTCCGGCAGTCGGCGCCTCGGGCGTCAGGGCCAAGCTTTAGGGCAAACATAGCCCGCAACGCGTGAACACATCGTATTCCCACGTATTAAGTAACTCTTCTTGTCGCGGACGTTTGTAGACTTCCGTGTTTTCTGCGCATCGTGCCGCTGTACAAATTGCGGTTGTTTCGGTTAGAAAGAGGCGATATGTTTGCTGCGGGGTGTGACTGGAAGGGGAAAGCGTGGTGGCACGAGGGAACTCCTTGATTCTTATGCATGCGTGATAATACCAATTCTGCAGAGCTGCTCTTCTACGTGGCGTGGAATGGCACGATTCAGGGAAATTAACATCATTGAGAGGAGGATTCTGCGTTCCTTTATGCCGGCGTAAGGACCGCGCACACACGCTCTCGCCAAAGAAGAGTAGAAAAATACCTACATGCATGCATGCCTTAGACTAAACTGCTATAGATGTGTAGATACGGTTCACCTACGCCAAAAGCAGCCCTCACAAGTAAAGAGGGTCGTCAATTTTGCAAAATCTGTAGTGGGTTGTTTTGTGTGTTGTTGTAGACGTCGTAAGTGTTTCATCCGTCCTTTTGCGTGGCGTAGATGGGGGGACACTGGGCGCTTGTTTACGCGTCGAATAACAGCTACAATTCACGTGTAGACTACATGTTCCAGGACTACAAGTGAGTGTGTGTCAGGTTCTAACGAGAGAGTTCGACCGCCACGTAGCCCAATTTTGGTTGTGTTGAGTCGTCAGAGGTTGACAACACTGTGCATTAATTTGCGGATGGACATCGTGTGATAGTAAGCAGTCCAGGAGAGTCCTGGCACCACGCTTGGAACGGGTGCAAAAGAAAACAAAAACACCGTCTGTGGGTTTCGACAACAAGTTCACATGGCTGTATTGTGCTACACCACGAACGCTTTAAGTCTGGTCGCGATGATTATTTGATGGGGAGGAACACGTGCGTGTTTGGGCGAAAACGTGAAACTGAAGCTTAACCTTTTGGCCTACATGTAGCAACATCAAGGACGACAGATGGGTCTCGAAGAGCAACCAGAGAGGTCAGCAGCATTCATCTGGAAGGCTCTGAGCAAGGGCGTGAATACCCCGGCAAGGTTTCAGAGCGCACTGTTGGTGCTAGGTACAGGTCACGATCGAATATCCTGGGAGCTGTTGTTTTGGGTGAAACGGCTCTCTTTGCCGCCTGGTTCTTCTGCCGTCGACCGTGACGTCGTTTTGTGTGCAAGTACAAAAAAAAGGTGCCTGTGCTCACGACGCATGTATGTACCCGCTGTCCGCTATTGTTGAGCAACCCCGCATCACGGCTGAGTTCACGAAGTGAATTGGCTTGTTTTACAACGTCGTTGCCAAGCGACGAAAACCCAACACCGATGGCAAACACCGAGGGG